GTCCGTCCCCCTCCTCCTCGGACCTCCTCAACCTCCTGCCATTCCTCCTCTTCCCTCCTCATCCCTCTCCTCTTCCTCCGCCTCCATCGTTTTTTTTTTATCTCTCTCTCTCTCTCTTTCTCTCTCTTCTCCCTCCGTTGCCCCAATTTTTCTCGGCAAGGCCAAAGTCCTCGCCCAGCGGCGTAACATACTACGCAAATCTAGGCCGCCTGAAGAGTCCAAGGGTGGCCCGAGAAGAAGGGTTGCGGTTGGCGAGGGCTAGGGGGATGAGCCCTGAGGGGCGTTCGGATTGTGAGGCTCTGCGTCGCCCCCGCCTCCTTCGGCCGTAGAGAACCCCCCCCCCCCTCTTGGCCAGCCCCTGCGCTTCCGGCGAACCAAGATCTATTGCGCTTCGGCTCCTCGGGAAAAGCGGCTCACATCGTCTCCAAGTCGACGGCGTCGCGGGCCTCGGGCTCTGCGCAGCCGACGAGACAAGTGACGTCGTACTCCTTGGAGAAATGGCCGCCCAAGTACGCCATGTTCCCGAGCGGGGTCCGGGTCACCGCGTACGCGGCACGGCCCTGGACCACGTGGAAGTTGTCGCCGTGGCCCGGGGAGTCGAGTATGGTGCCCTGCTCAGACTTTGCGATCTCGCGCAGTCTGGCGTGCGCCCCTTCGATCTCGCTGCCCCAGCCACTGATCGGCGGGATGGCATCGACCATCTCCGTGATGGTCCTGTCCGCCGCGTACTCCTCGTTGATGGCGTCCCACAGGAACTTGGCCTCACCCCAGCTGATGTTGACGGCGGGGTAGGAGAGGCGCAGCAAGCGGGACAGGGGAACGTCACTGGCCTTGCCGATCTCGACCACCGTCGTGACTGGCTTGACCATCATGGCCTCCGTGTTCGCCTCCGTGGGGTCACAGATCTTCCACTGCTGGAAGGACGCCGTCTGCAGGTTGTGCCAGCTGCTCTGCGCAAAACCCTCTGCGTTGGTGGCATACCCGCCCCCGTTCAAGTCTGCGCAGTCGTTCGACACGTAGCACCACTGCTTGCCGCTCTTCTCGTCCTCCGGGAAAGGGTACAGGTCGATGTTCAGGCATGCCCCATGATTGAAGTTCTTGAACATGTCGGCGCACACCTTCAGGGGAACGAAGAATGACACAAACATAAAAACACGGAGGTCCGCGCGGATTTCTCGGATCGGCGCTGGACCCCCCTCCCTGGCGCGCGGAGCGCGCCAGGGGCTGCGCCGGAGGCGCCGCCAAGGGGGTCCGGCGCAGATCCGAGAAATCCGCGCGGACCTCCGAGTTTTCATCTTTCAGTCACTCTTCGATCCCCTCACCTTGTGCGGCAGGCCGGTGATGGGCTCGGTGGCGGCATAGGACGCGGAGAAGCCGTTCTTGCTGAGAAAGTACAGCTCGTTCGCCCGGCCGCACCAGGCCTTCTCGCGGCGGCGCGCCGCGCGGGCGGGGCGAGGGGGGTGGCCGGCGAAGGAGCGATTTGGGGCTTCTTCGAAGGAATCAGAGCCTCCTAGGCTTAGGTCGGGCATGTCCTCCGGCAGGCGGATTATGGAAGACAACAAAGATAATCACAAAACAAACAACGAAACATCCTGTAGAGGGACATGCCCGACTTAATCTTAGGTCGGGCCTGTCCCCCTACAGGCCGATTTTCGAGGCAAAATTTCTACATCAAAAATCAAAAATACACGAAGATGGCACAAAACAACTTAAACAATAGTCCCCAGACTATGTTTTGACCATTTTTGGATATTCCTCCTGTAGAGAAGCCCGACTTAAGCTTGATCCTGGATGGTGAGAGGGCTCCTAAGAGCACCCCCTGCCCTCTTGGAGAAGACCGCCCCCAGCCCCCTCGCGCCACGACCGACCCCCACGCGTTCAGGGAGCCTGCTCCCGACGCCCCTCCCGAGCTCCCTCCTGGCCAGCTCCTCGAGCGGCGTCCGGCCATGGCGGCGAGGAAACCTCCGGAGGTGCGCGAGGACATCTCCGAACACCGCCGGAGGTCTTCTCATCACGGGGGAATCATTCATATCAAATCCAAGAACCGTCAGAAACGACGACGTGGATTCACCAGGAAAAAATGAAGGGAGGGGGGGCGCAAAACTGATGGAAACACCTCACTCACCACTAAGAGAGGGTCACAAAAAACTGACGACCGCCACCTGGGGAACTGCGGGGATATTGCAGCGAAGAGGAGGGGTTGGGAATCCTGACGACGGCGCGGCCGTCCAACCCATTAGTCTCCTTTGCCGAAAGTAAGCCGACGACGGCGCGGCCAGAAAACCCCAAATTAAGTCGTTTTCTATTGGAATCGCGCTAGCGGTGCCTTCTCCGTGTAGTAGACGTCGGCGAAGCTCAGGCAGTCGCAGCTGCCCGACCTGGTCTTCGTGGCGTTGGCACCTGCCCGCGCGGCATCGTGCACGCCGAGCGCCGACGCGGCCGCCAGGAGGCCCGCCGCGAGGACCGACTGCACCGCCATGGCTGCTGCCGGCGCGGTCGCCCCCAGACCTCCCCCGCCACGACGGAAACACGCAGAAGGCACTCGCCACCACTGTGTGATACGGTCGGACCTGGGACAGAAGAACATCCACCCAGAACATGAGACCCTCCGCCGGCCAGAACACACAGAACGGCCAAGCCCCAAGCCATAAGATCACTCGAGGGTACCCACCCGCGGGATGAACACGAGCACCCAGCAAACACGAAAAAACCCTCCCCGAACCGACCTCGATCTTGTACCTCGGTCCGACCGTATGCCATAATATGACTGGCCAGGCCACCCTTGGCCGAGGCATGGCGCACACGCTGCTGCTGGAGGCCAGGAGGGTGCGTATGCGCACCAGTCTGAAGCCTGGGATGGCCCTGGCCAGGCACGGTGGTGGGGAATCGATGCCTCCCAATCGTGCCGGCCGATCTCTTGAATTTCTGGCGTCCAGGGGCCCGTTCCGGGCCCGGGGACATCAGGATACGGCCCGGAATGGAAGAACAGTCCCCGGGATGGGGTCGACGGAGCCCCAGGGGGGGCAGCAAGGAGTCGTGGCGTCGGATGCCTGGGTCCTGCCTGTGTGGGCGAGGAACAGTTCGATCCGGCGGGAGTGGACGAGAGGCTTGAGCCTCCTCTGGAGTACCGTTCGAGGCGGCCGCGAAGCGCACATGAGCGCTCCGAGTCTCTCCCCCGTCGAGTGCTGCGGCTGGCTGAAGCACTGCCTGGGACCTTTCGAAATCGGAGAAAAGAGCTGCCCCATTCCCCGTCCTCCCTCCCCGACTCTTGCAGTCGAGCTCCAAGGAGGCAGCCCCTTTACTCGTGCAGCGTATCGAGACCGTCCCTGCACAAGATGCCCCTGGGGAGGCACGAGACCTCTTCGAGCATGCACGAGCTAATGCATAAAAGCCTGGGGGAGCCCCTGACCACACAACATCCAATCCTACTCATCCTGATCCTGTGCACTCCTGCTCCGCCGCCTCCTCCTCCTCCTCCTCCTCGGCCCTCCACTCTCCTCGTCCTCCTCCTCCTCCTCCTCCTCCTCCTCCTCCTCCTTCTGCTCTTCCTCCGCATCCATCCTTCTCGCTCTCCCTCCCTCCCCTTCTCCCTCACCCTCCTCCGCTACTTCCCCTCTCATTTCTGTTCAGGTCTCGGCAAGGCCAAAGTCCTCGCCCAGCGGCGTAACATACTACGCACATCTAGGCCGCCTGAAGAGTCCAAGGGTGGCCCGAGAAGAAGGGTTGCGGTTGGCGAGGGCCAGGGGGATGAGCCCTGAGGGGCGCTCGGATGGTGAGGCTCTGCGTCGCCCCCGCCTCCTTCGGCCGTAGAGAACCCCCCCCCCTCTTGGCCAGCCCCTGCGCTTCCGGCGAACCAAGATCTATTGCGCTTCGGCTCCTCGGGAAAAGCGGCTCACATCGTCTCCAAGTCGACGGCGTCACGGGCCTCGGGCTCTGCGCAGCCGACGAGACAAGTGACGTCGTACTCCTTGGAGAAATGGCCGCCCAAGTACGCCATGTTCCCGAGCGGGGTCCGGGTCACCGCGTACGCGGCACGGCCCTGGACCACGTGGAAGTTGTCGCCGTGGCCCGGGGAGTCGAGTATGGTGCCCTGCTCAGACTTTGCGATCTCGCGCAGTCTGGCGTGCGCCCCTTCGATCTCGCTGCCCCAGCCACTGATCGGCGGGATGGCATCGACCATCTCCGTGATGGTCCTGTCCGCCGCGTACTCCTCGTTGATGGCGTCCCACAGGAACTTGGCCTCACCCCAGCTGATGTTGACGGCGGGGTAGGAGAGGCGCAGCAAGCGGGACAGGGGCACGTCACTGGCCTTGCCGATCTCGACCACCGTCGTGACTGGCTTGACCATCATGGCCTCCGTGTTCGCCTCCGTGGGGTCACAGATCTTCCACTGCTGGAAGGACGCCGTCTGCAGGTTGTGCCAGCTGCTCTGCGCAAAACCCTCTGCGTTGGTGGCATACCCGCCCCCGTTCAAGTCTGCGCAGTCGTTCGACACGTAGCACCACTGCTTGCCGCTCTTCTCGTCCTCCGGGAAAGGGTACAGGTCGATGTTCAGGCATGCCCCATGATTGAAGTTCTTGAACATGTCGGCGCACACCTTGTGCGGCAGGCCGGTGATGGGCTCGGTGGCGGCATAGGACGCGGAGAAGCCGTTCTTGCTGAGAAAGTACAGCTCGTTCGCCCGGCCGCACCAGGCCTTCTCTGTGTAGTAGACGTCTGCGAAGCTCAGACAGTCGCAACTGCCCGACCTGGTCTTGGTGGCGTTCGAATGCGCCCGCACGGTGTCGTGCGCGCCCAGCGTCGACGCGACCGGCAGGAGGCTCATCGGGAGGACCACCCGCATCGCCATGGCTGCAGGAGCAATCCTCCTGCCCGTGCCCGCGAGGAGAAATTCGGTAAAACGGACAACGACAACACCTGGATATCAAACCGCTGCTCGAGCCGACCCGTGAGGTGTCTCTTGCGGACCAAGGCTGGGCAGTTGGCTTCACTGTCCCCCCCGAGAGAGAGAGAGAGAGATAAAGAGAGAGAAAAACAAATAAGTACGTACTGCTTCACCCCCTGCTGCGAGTGAGAGAACGGAGCAGATCAACTGAACATCGATTCACCGATCCCTATCCCCACCACGTTGGCCTGGGCCCCACTGGCCGATTGACCCACCCAGATGGGATGGTGGCCGTTCCCTGCTAGTTTCGAGGGGCACATCCCCAACTGGGGTGGTGGGATGGTGGGGCTCGGGATGGGGATAGGGGACAGTCCTCCTCCTCCTCCTCCTCCTCCTCCTCCTCCTCCTCCTCCTCCTCCAGACCACCCCAACCCAACCGTCGGTGGCAACTCATGGGAGTCTCCCGATACCATCCTGTCGGCTCTTGCGAATCGACGCTCATAGATGCTAGCCGACGCTAATCGACGCCAAACCGACGCTACATCGACGCTGATCGATGCTACATCGGCACATCTCATCGACTCCCAGACGCGAAGCGACGCCAGTCGACGCTGCAGACGGAAGCAAGACGGTATACCAGACTCCCATGATTGGCTGCCGAACAGAGCGGTCCTCATTTCAGCGCCCTGACTGCACCCGTATGACCCCTCGACCAGGGTGGGTGCCGGGAGCTGATGGGCCCCCCCGGGGGCGCAAGAGGACCAAAGCTGAGACGAAGCCAAGACGAGGGCAAATCCGGATGAGGATGAACCGAGAGTACCTTGGGTGACCCAAAAGGGGGTCCAGCTGCAAAGGGGTGGTGCAATAGATTTGGGACAATTGGATTGCAAATGTACTGCGCCGGAGAATTGTACTGCATTGTATTGCAACAAATGCATTGCACGCGAAAATCCAGCAATACATTTGCGCCCCGGAATGTATTGCACGCCCAAAATGTATTGCAACCCCACAAATCTATTGCACCAAATCTATGAACGCTCTGAGAGCATTCCGGAAAGCTCTGAGAGCGTTCCAGAACGCTCTGGAGCTGATCTATCAAGGGCGCCAAACTTCGCGCTTCGCGCTGCGCGAAGCGCGAAGAGCGAATGCCTTCGCGCTCTCGCGCCGCCCCCCAGGGGAGAAGAAGAAGATGAGAAGGAATCAGAGCCGAACCGTGAAGCGCGAGGCGCGAATAAATTCGCGCCCTCGAGGGCGCGCTTGTTTATCCTTGTCCCAGCCCCGCTCGAAAAGCTCCCCAGCTGTGGCTGGTCTGTACAAAGGTGCGGGAGCCAGGCACGCCGACTCTACTGCGTGAAGTGTCGCCTCTGGCGCAGGGCCATTACTGCGGTGCGCTCGTCGCGACGGCCTGCGTGCGTGTCGGATGTCTTCGTTTCTGGGGGCCCCTGGGGGCCTCCAGAGGCCCAGAGAGGCAAACATGATCAAAAGCGGTCAGAAACCTTCATCCTGGAATCGAAGGCGGAGGATCGAGGAAGAGCATCCCTGCCGTCTTTGTGAGTGCTGTCACGACGACGGTGAGTAACCAGCGGCCTGCGGCGGCCTCCTGGCTGGAGCCGAGACAATTTCGGAAGTCCGCCGAGACAGACGAGAAGAGTTTTGCCTGCATAGTAGGGAAAAGGAAACAACCCATATACACCGACGCAATGTTTCGGCCCTGCACTAACACTTGCACAGGAAAGCGGATATTGGTGTATGCGGGATCCTGGTGTATGCATGTTTCGATTTTCCCCCAGGAAGACGGGGGAAACAAGTATACACCACACCACCCCGACGTCGTCCCCGACCTTTAACAGCAAGTCCTGGGGGTGAGAAACAGCTCGCCACTGGTAATGTAGATGCTCCAGTTTCCGATGGAAAGCCTTGGGGGGCGGGCTGTCCGAGAGCTGTCGCAGCACCTGCGATTCGCCTGGGAGGAACCGCAGAGTGCGAACCAGAGGCGTCGTGCAGTGGAAGTCGCTTGAGCCAAAATGGAAGTCGAGGGCGAGGACGACGAGGAGGAGGGCGATGCCAAAGACGACGACGTCGTCGACGACGACGCGCGCGCGGATTCGCAGCGCTGCCCACTCCCCTCACGGCAGCCGCAGCCGCGCCTCGCAGTCGAAAGTCACGGCCCAGCCGCGCCCGCCGGGTAGCTGCGGGGCGGAGGGGTGGGGGAAGGCAGGGAAGAGAAGGGGGGAGAGGCGCACCCAGGAGGAGAAGAGAGAAGGAGGGAGAAAGAGAAGAGAAAGAGAAAAGTAAGAGGAGGAGAAGGGGGAGGAGAAGGAGGAGGAGGAGGAGGAGGAGGAGGAGGCGGCTTGACGAGGAAGGGATGGGGGAGATCGATCTGGCTGCCCAGAGCTCGCAGCCGTGGGCCAGTTCCAACGATCGCTAGGGCGATTCGGCGCGACCGTGCTCGCGGTCTGGAGGGGCGGGGCCGTGTGCACGCCAACCTCATCATCACCATCACCATCACCATCACCATCACCATCACCATCACCATCACCATCACCATCACCATCATCACCACCATCATCATCTCCAGCATCATCACCATCCGCATCATCACCACAATCAGCATCATCATCCTCATCAGCATGAGCATTAAAACCACCACCCTCATCATCATCATCATCATCATCATCATCATCATCATCATCATCACCATCACCATCAGTATCACATCATCATCACCACCACCAGCATCATCATCACCACCACCATCACCATCATCACCATCATCACCATCATCATCACCATCACTCACCACCACCACCACCATCGTCACCACCACCATCATCAGCACCAACATCACCATCATCAGCACCCCATCAGCATGAACTCACCATCAACATCATCATCACCATCATCATCATCATCATCATCATTATCATCATCATCATCATCATCATCATCATCATCATCATCGTCAGCATCATCATCTCAATCACCATCATCACCAAAGCATCAGCATCATCATCATCAACATCATCATCACCATCATATCATCATCTCCACCACCACCATCATCACCATCAGCTCCATCATCATTATCACAATCACCATCACCATGATCATCACCATCATCATCATCATTACCATCACCATCACCATCATCATCATCATCATCACCATCACCATCACCACCACCATCATCATCACCACAACCATCATCGTCAAGTCAGCATCATCATCAACATCAACATCATCATCATCATCATCATCATCAGCATCAGCATCATCATCAACATCAACATCATCATCATCATCATCATCATCATCATCATCATCATCATCATCATCATCATCATCATCGCCACCATCATCAACATCATCGCACCATCAACTCCACCATCACGGCCATCATCATCACCACCACCATCAACATCACCATCACCATCACCACCAGGATCATCATCAACAAGGCCCCGAAGGCCCAGTGTCCCAGACCCGGGGGCCCGGTGTCTTGAGCCCGGGGCCCAGGGCCCCTGGCTTGGGGGCCCGGGGCCCAGGGCTCAAGGCCACGAGTCCTCGGCCTGAAGCCTGGGGCCCGGGGCCGGGGCACGACTACTCCTCCATAGTGGAAGCAGGAGGAGGAGGGGGAGGAGGAGGAGGAGGAGGGGAGGAGGAGGAGGAGGAGGAGGAGGAAGGGAGAAGGAGGAGCAGGAGGAGGAGGAGGAGGAGGAGAGGAGGAGGAGAACGAGAGGAGGAGGAGGAGGAGGGGTACGAGCAGGAGGAGGGGGAGGAGGAGGAGAGGAGGGAGGAGAGGAAGAGAGGAGGAGGACAAGGAGGAGGATCGGGGATGAATGGGAGGAAGGGGAGGAGGAGGACGGAGGAGGAGAGGAGGAGGAGGAGGAGGGGGAGGGAGGAGGAGGGAGGAGGAGAGAGGAGGAGGAGGAGGAGGAGGGGAAGAGGAGGAGGGAGGAGGAGGAGGAGGAGGAAACGAAGGCAGAGGCGGAGGAGGAGGAGGAGGAGGAGGAGGAGGGCGACCAGAAGCCCCCTGGCCGACGCGCGCTCCTCGAGGTCGAAAGCCGGCGCCGTGGCCCCAGTCTGCGCGCCGCGGCCTCAAAGCGGCACGCGCGCGCCGCGCGCCGCCGCTGTCGTCGCCAGAAGCCTTCCTTCGGGGGCCAGCGGTACAGGTGTCGGAAACAATTAAGCAACACTCAAGCGCAGCAGATGCTTTGAACTCTCTCCTCCCCCCTTCCCTCGAATAAAGTCCCACCAGCCCTCTGGGCGTCGGTGGTTTAGGGAGTTTCCTCTTCCACCCCTCCTCTTCCCCTTCGGGGAGGGGTTTACCTCTCTCCCTACCTCCTCCCATGGACCTGGACGGGGGGGTTCGCGAGGTGTCAGGGCGTCCAAAACGGCCTCGGCGAGGAAGCCAAAATCATTGGTTTTACTATGGTTTTGGCCCCACTTTGGCCTCCTGAGGGGGGGCCCTAATTAAAGCTCCCCTCTTGTTTGATCGATCTCCTCCAAGATGGCCCCAAGAAGCGCCCAGGAAGCCCCAATAGGTCCCAAGATGGCCCCAAGATGGCCCCAAGAGCCCCCAGGAGGCCCCCAAAAAGATCCCAAGCGGCCCAAAGAGGGCCCCCCCCGAGGCACCCAAGACGCCGAAGAGCCCCCCACGCCCGCCAAGAGGTCCTCAAGACATCCCAAGACGCCCAAGAGATACCCCAAGAGGCTCCGAGAAGCATCCAAGAGACCTCTGGCCCTTTTGCTTGCTCTCCTCCTCCTTCCTCCTCCTATCCCTTCTCATCCTCCTCCTCCCCCTCCGCCTCCTCCTCCTCCTCCTCCTCCTCATCCTCCTCCTCCTCCTCCTCCTCCTCCTCCTCCTCCTCCTCTTCATCCTCCTTCTCCCCACTCCCTCATCCAGCCATCCAATTTTCTCCTTCGCCCCCACTCTCATTCACACGGTTCGGCCGTCCCCCTCTTTGCTCCCGCACTTCCCTGATCACATCTCAACTCGCCTGGACATCGTTTCTGGATGGGCTGGTGGGGATACGCGAAGCGTCTAGAATATGGTTCGAACTCCCCTCCCTCCCCCCGAATGCAAAATTGGTTTCGGATCTTCCGAGTTTGAGT